ACATAATATATATATATATATATATATATATATATATATATATATATATATATATATTATGTATGTATGTATGTATAAGGGTTGGCAAATCAGTAAGAGAAAGCGATGCCTACAATGTGTAAAAGATCAAGAAAGGGAGGAAATGCTAAGAACTTTAAAGGACAGATAAGACATGAGAGAGGAAGTGATTCATCTTAACTGAAATTTAAAAATCAAGGGAAATAACTAGGAACAAAATGTAGTCCAGCATTTGTGACTATGAGACCACAGGGATAGTTTCCCCAAGTCTTTTTGTCATTAAAGGGAATATCATATAACCCTTTTACTCCAGAGCCTCTGTAGATATGAATCCCTGGCTAGCTTCATCTAGGTTTGAATGCTATGCAGATCTAGCTTCCAAGTCTTGCATTAGAACTCTGCAATGGAATCTTGAAACTGTTCAGAAAAATGGATGTGCTATTCTTGGATTGCCTCTTTGCTGGTAAACACATGTCTCACCAAAAGATCTGAATGGACCCGAACATTTAGAGTACTCTTCAAAACCATAGTTTATTTAACCATGACTTGTTGAGTAAGCCACAATTAGAACTGCTTGTGTAAGCTATGATCAAAAAGTTCTGGGGGGCTCACTTCAAACCCAAAGAAACTATTTTATTGCCATACATGAACTCGGCAGATCCCAGCACCAGGAAAATCCCAAGTAGGTGGATTTTAACGAATGCCCCAAAAAAAGCAATAGCAAACTATTTTCATATTATTGTCAAAAGAATTACAAGAAGTTGCCAGCAGACGAGTTTAATTCAGGCAGACTTTCCTTTCCTTACTTACAAATTATATGAGCCAACATCTCTCCCAGCCCTTCCACTCTCTTAGTGAAGAGGAAAAAGTGGTTTTCTTGCTGGACAAGTGCAGCCTTTCTGCTTTTTTCTCAAGACTCAAAGGAGGGAGCTTTATATTTGCTGTTTCACAATACCAGGGGCGTCAAACTCGATTTCATTGAGGCTCGCATCAGGGTTGTGTTTAACCTCTGGGGGCCGGGTTGGGTGTGGCTAGCTCAACATTACTCATGTTGGGGGCACCTGTGGTGGCCCAAGCGCTCTGCCAGGGAAAACGGGCTCCCGAGCTCCATTTTCAACTGTGACGGCCTCCTGCAACCCTCCGCCAGCAAAAACGGAACTCGGGAAAGCTGTACATGGCCCTCCCGAGCTCCGTTTTCACTGGCAGAGGCACTGCGGGCTACTCCTTTGCTGTTTCCAGGGTGTCTCTGTGGGCCAGAGCTAAGTACCCTATGGGCCAAATCCGTCCCCCAGGCCTTGAGTTTGACACCCCTGCACTATCCACACAGTGGACTGAAATATAATATCCCCCTGCCTAAAATAGTCACCTTGCCCCCTATGATGAATAAGAAACTTCTCTAAGAAGCATAAAAAAACTGGGGTGGACTCACCTTGCTTTAGGACTGGACTAATAATATAACTTGTAGACTGCAGTCTGTTAAAAACCACCTGTGAAGTAGTAAAGGTTTTTGGCTGACTGTCAAGTCATACATAGCTAATGATCAGAAAGAAAGCTAAGATTTTCTATTTGATCTGCCAGTTTAGCGGATGTCAATGGCAGAAAATACCATAAATTCAAAGTAACTCCAAAAATAGTGAATGCAGTATACTGAAATTACTGAATATACCATAAGAAATACCGTAAGAAGTAGCAGAAAGTATATTGGGAAATACTAGTAGCATTTTTTTTTTTTTGTAAAGGAGGATTCATCCCATCTAAAGCAATGCATAATCTGTAAATTCAAAATACTGAAACTTCTGAAAAGTAAGTTCTGTTAAAGCTAGGTACATTTCCTTCAAAAATTGGGGTTGGAACTATGGGTAAATCTTAGGGGGGGATTCCTTTCTCCCCCCCTCTCTCTGCACAACAGAACACATGCTAATTGAATCATGATTTACTAAATTTACCTAACACACTGAAATAGAAACTAGCCATACTGCTCTGTTGTATGAGTTCATACAACCTGGGTATAAATCAAACTAATGTGTTGTACCAATACAACATGGAGGCTGACCTCCATGTTGTATTGGTACAACACATTAGTTGAATTGGTACAACACATGGTGGGGGTGAAACTGTCTTCCCAGCTGAATCAATGGATTAAACAAATTTAATTGAGGGGTCCTTGGTTCTCTCTGAGCTCAGTTATTTCCTTGCAGATGTCTCATCACCCAAACTAGATAACATCAACAATGCTAGTAGGGAGTGTGATTTGCTCTCATTTTATATACTAGCGCAGGGGTGTCAAACTGGATTTCTTGGAGGGTCGGATCAGCATTGTAGTTGTCCTCCGCGGGCCAGCCAGGGGGGGAGATGGGAAAGATGGCCTCCTGCAGCAACCTGTTGGCCAAAATGGGTCACGGGGGCCACGGGCAATCGCCCGTGCCCTGTTTTGGCCAGCAGAGTGCTGCAAGAGATCAGGTCAAAAACAAGGCATAGGGGCCTCCCGCAGCCTCCCCATGGCCCGTTTTCACTAGCAGAGTCACCACAGGCCAGTCCTTTGCTATTTCCAGGCCGGCCCTGCAGGACAGATCTAAGGACCCTGCACGATGGATCTGGCCCATGGGCCTTGAGTTTGACACCTCTGTATTAGTGGCTTGCCCTGCAGTGGTAGGATTCAAATTTTTTAACTACTGGTTCTGTGGGCGTGGCTTGGTGGGCATGGCAGGGGAAGGATACTGTAAAATCTCCAGTCAGAGATGGTATTTGCCAGTTCTCTGAACTACTCAAAATTTCCACTACCAGTTCTCCAGAACTGGTCAGAACCTGCTGAATACCATCTCTGTTGCCCTGTTTTTTTTTTTTTTATTGGGCACTTATTTACTGTTGGCCTATTTATCTGAATTGGTATTACCTTGATTGGGATATTGTTTACTTCTTGACCGTTGGTCTAATGTTAATCTTGGTGTTAATCTCTGCTCATCTGGGTGTTGACTGCTGGTGAGGAGGTGTTTTGGTCTTCTTGTTTCCTTCCTGGCCTTCTGATTTGTGTCTTTGGAATGGTATGTAGATGTTGTTTATCTCTATGTGCCTGTGGATGATCAACTTGACTGAGTGGCAGCCTTCCAGGAATTCTCTAGCTTGTTTGGACTTGGCTTGGTTGAGGCTGGTCACAGTTTCCCAATTGAAACTATAGTTAAGTCTGTCAATGTGCTGTGAAATTTAGGAGTTTTCATCATGTCTTCTGACTGCTGGTTGTTGTTCATGGATACACTCTGCTAGTCTTCTGACTGTTTATCCTACATAATGGCTGTTGTAGTTCTTACACTGTATGCAGTTGTAGTCTATTGGTGCTTTCTGAAATGTTTTTGATGTATGGCAGTATTATCCTTTTCAGAGCTTGTTTCGGTTGGTGATTGAGTGGTCAGGCCCTTTTGATGAAGTTGAGGGCTATTCATTTTGTGGAGAGATGTTGTATAGATAATCTCTTTCCTTTTTCTAATATTCGGGGGTGCTGTCATGTATTTGTGGTTATCTAAAT